TTACTAAGCAGTTTGTATAGTGCTGCCGTGTAAGTGCTGCACAGTGGCAAGTTCATGAACTTAATTGTCATATTCCTATGCATCCTCAAATTTTTGTTTTTGGTTTTTTGTACATCCTTGTTCTTTTCATCTTGAGGAAGCTGCACCATACTACTAGATTATTTTGGTCTTGTAGTCATCTAAAGATTCTTTCTATAGGATCCATGAGTAAGTTGAGATCCTCTAATTTGTTCTTATTTCAGATGAAGTTTTCAGTTGTTCTTATTAAGTCTCATCTTCATTTAGTTCATTGTTGTAATTTATAGCTCTCAAAATACGAATTTATCTTTTTAGCATATTAGTCATGTCTCCCAAGTATATGTCATTTGCAGCTCTTAGCAACAGATATTTATTGATTATTTACTATATGTAGGGCACTAGATAAATTTCCTTTCCTTATGATAGTGATAGTTTTCTAGGGTAGAAAGTTACTCCAGTGTTCAAGTACATTACAAAAAGCAAAGGAATTTGTCTGCTCTATGTTACAACGTAATAAAACACCCTAGTAGTAGTGAAAACATGTGGTACTGGCACAAAAACAGACAAATAATCCACGAGAGCAATACAGAGAACTCAGAGCTACATTGATTTGTATATGAAAGGTTAATAGGATAAAAATGCCATTACAAATTGATGGGTTAAGTAGACTACTTAGTAGTTGGTGTGGGGGAACTAGCTCAGTATATGAAGAAAAATAAAATTGGGCTCTTATTTATAAAGAAGAACCTCAGATGGATTTAGAACCAAAATAATTTAAAATTAATAAAACATAATTTATCTTTATGAGTTAGTATTATGAAAGTATTTCTTAATGCCCCCAAAGCATGAAACCATAAGTTGAGAAAAATGATTAATTTAATGATACAAAATTATGGATTTGGGTTCAACATGTACATGCACATTATTAACAGATAACATTTTGGGAGAAGATACTTACAGTAACTAAACTTGGAAATGAATTAATATCTAGAAAATAAAAGAAATGCCTTCATTAAGAAGACTAGAACCCCCATAGCAAAGTGGGCAAAGGAAACAAACAGGGAATTCACAAATTCCTTTGCTTTTTGTAATGTACTTGAACACTGGAGTAACTTTCTACCCTAGAAAACTATCACTATCATAAGGAAAGGAAATTTATCTAGTGCCCTACATATAGTAAATAATCAATAAATATCTGTTGCTAAGAGCTGCAAATGACACATACTTGGGAGACATGACTAATATGCTAAAAAGATAAATTCGTATTTTGAGAGCTATAGAGATACGTGAAGGGATGGTTAGATCATTAGTAATAAGATAAATCTAAATGAAAATAAGCTTTTAGTTTATACCCATGAGGCTAACAAAACTTAGAAAGCAAAATTGGATAATGCCAAACCTTGGCTGGATATAGGGAAATATTTCAAGGAACACAGATTAGTATAGCCATTGTGGAGAGCAGTTTTGGCAATTCTTCATCATTTAATTGATAAACTTCACTTTGAACTAACAATTTCTCAGAGAGTAATTCTCACACAGGTTCCTAAGGGAACATGTAAGGAGATAATGCATTATAGGATTGATTTTGGTGGCTAACAGTTAAAGATACTCTAAGTCTGCATTGCTGGGGTAGTGGATAGACAACATGTAGAGTACTTTACATCAGTCAAAAACGATGAACTAAATCACTTTTTTTTCTTTTTTTAATTTTGAGGCAGAGTCTTGCTCTGTCACCTGGACGAGATAGAGTACAGTGGTATGATCCATAGCTGCCTGCAACCTCTAACTCCTGGGCTCAAGCAATCTTCCTGCCTTAGTTTCCCATGTAGCTGAGACTATAGGCACACGCCACCATGCCTGACTATTTAAAAAATATATAGTGTAGAGATGGGGTGTCACTGTTGCCCAGAGTGGTCCTGAACTCCAGGTTTCAAGTAATCCTCGGCCTCCCAAAGTTAGGATTACAAGCATAAGCCACTGTGCCTGGCCCTAAGTCACTTTTAAACTATATTTTAAAAAAAACCTAAACAGAACAAAATAATAATACAACTGAGTTTTCACAGATGAATTTTTTTTTTTTTAAGAGACAGTCTCACTATATCAACCTTGGGTAGAGTGCTGTGGCGTCTCAGCTCACAGCAACCTCCTACTCCTGGGCTTAGGTGATTCTCTTGCCTCAGCCTCCCGAGTAGCTGGGATTACAGGTGCCTGCCACAATGCCCGGCTATTTTTGTTGTTGTTGCAGTTTGGCCAGGGCCGGGTTCCAACCTGCCACCCTACTCACTGAGCCACAGGTGCTACCCACACAGATGAATCTTTTAAAATAATTTAAAAAGCAATTTTAAAAGTGACACAACTTTTTGTATACCACAGCAACACAAATAGAATTTTAAAATCTACAAAGGATAAAGGTAGGAATACGTACAAACAGAAAGCTGTTCATCAAACACGTTAGAAGGAGTAACTTGTTGGGAAGGGAAAAGGGGGTAGGAAATGGAGATAGAAGAAGTCAGTTAGAAGAGAGGTCTTGAACAAGTGGTGGTAATAAGCCATGAACTGAGGAGTGTGATTGACTCAAGCTTTGAACATAAGGAGTAAAAGTGGCATTTGGGGACTTATTTGGCAGTAGTGTCTAAACTGAGTTGGAGTTGAAAAACCTAAGGATATAAAAAACAAGAAATTTAAAACAATGAAGGTACTAGGACATGCAGTCTTAACTCAGGACTGTGGTAATTTGGTATGGAAAGTAAAGGACTGATACAAGGAATACTGTAGAGAGGTAAAGTCAGTAGCTAATTAAATGAAGAGATGGATTCTATTTTGAAAGTAGGAAACCTCAAAGGGCGAGGTACCATTGATTAAAGAGGAATAACACACAGTAGATAAGCAGATTTAAGGGGAGGGATGTTGAATTCAGTTTTAGAATTCCATTGGAGAATACTAGCATTTCATTGAAGTAGATTATTCATTGTTAGAAAATTCATTGAGGATATACTATGTGCTAGGCATCAAAGTAGGGCATTTTTGTTATCCCTAAGATGTTTTTGTCCCTACTATTTCAATTTCCTCCATCATTTTGATTCTAAGAGTGGTTTGATTGAGTTGTCAGAAAATGTTAAGCTTGAAAGTACACCAGTTTACTGTTGAGTACAAACATGACAAAATAGTCAAAACATCCTGACAAATGAGATCTATAAAATTTTACCTGAGAAACTGGACTTGGTAATAATGACCACATTACAAAGAAAATTTTAAATGGCAGAAAATAATTGAAATTTGTTTTGAACTAAAAAGTGGAAAGCAGATCAAAGCTTTGTTGTAAGGTTTACTCTAGAAAAGACTTGATCTCGATTTCAATAGTTTTAGTAAAATAAAATTGAACTGGGAGGGAAAGAAGTAGAAATTCTGTGCCATGTAGAAAATTGCTGAGTATCAAGTCAGCTTGATTGTTTTTTATTCCTCAAAATGCTGTTCCCTTCCCTCTTGACTAGGTTAGATTTCAATCTTTAAATTTTAAATTATACCAGTACTGTGTGGGCATACTCTCATTGTAATATATTCAGGTTGTATAAATAAAACAGTCACCCTATGACCCTGTCACTTCCCTCTCCAGAGGTCACACTATTTGGTCACATATATCCTTCCAGATACCCTTCTCTCTTTTCACACATAAGTGTATACAAAAATAAACATTGATTTGTAGATATTTGGTATTATTCTCCATATG